GCGGGGCTGGTGAACATGGGCCGCGTCGGGGAGCTCAAGGGCCATTACCTCTTCACCTACCAGCCTGACGGTCACGCGGCAAATGAACCCGAAGCAATAAGGAGGTCAGTGGACACTTTGTTTGCACAGCATGACAGCGTGCGGTGGCACTCGGAACAGAAACTTCTGAAACGCTCCAAACGCAGCCTGCACTTTAACGATCCCAAATACCCCCAGCAGTGGCATCTGGTGAGTGGTTTTCCAGCTTCTGGCGTAGCCAGCATGCCCAAAAGATCCGGGAGCCCCTTTCCTCCCTGCTGATGCGCTTCTCCGCTTTTCCTCTCCCTTCGCTGTCCTTTCTGGTGCTTAGAACAACCGCAAGAGCCCTGGGAAGGACATAAATGTCACAGGCGTCTGGGAGCGGAACGTGACGGGGCGCGGTGTGACGGTGGTGGTGGTGGACGACGGCGTGGAGCACACCATCAAAGACATACAGCCAAATTACGTGAGTGCTGGCTCTAGGCTGGAGGCTGGGCAAGGCGGCACAGCTGGTACAGGCCTCCAGGAGATTTTGTGCCCAAGTTGCAGGGTTTCCAGCCCTTGTGCTGCCTGTGGGAGGCAGCTGCTTAGCCAGGAGAGCTGGCGTCTCTCTGACCCACAGCAGTGGCTGAAGCTGTCCCTGTTGTCCCTTTCCTGCAGCAGCAGATAGCAGTGTTGAGCTGCAGCCCTGTGTGCAAGCAGCCTCTGAGTTCCTGTCGCTTCCAGGCTGTGTTTTGGCCTGCGTAGCATGCTCTTAGGTCCTGCTTTTCCCAAAGAAAGCAGAGCAGAGCCCTGAGTTGTGACTGCGGGTCTGTTTTCAGAGCCCTGAAGGCAGCTATGACTTGAACTCCAATGATCCCGACCCTATGCCTCACCCTGACGAGGAGAATGGGAACCACCACGGGACCCGCTGCGCCGGGGAGATTGCTGCTGTGCCAAACAACAGTTTCTGCACCGTGGGAGTTGCCTACGGGAGCCGCATCGCAGGTACGTGCGTGCTGTGGCACCCTGACATGCTGCGCCTGTGCTGCCTTGTCTTGTCTGCGATGCTGTGGGGCCGGGGCATGGCTCTGTGGGAGGGCGGCTTGGCCCGAGTGGCTCTGAGTCAGCCGTGCCTTGCTCGGGCTGGTTAATCTGTCGGAGGGAGGAACCGGCGTCTGCCTGAGCTCCTCTCCAGAGCAGCCAGTTCCTGGCAGAGTGAGATAGGTGTGTGCACTATCTATCTATCTATCCAGAGCTCTCCCAGCACACCGCCTGCCCTGCCGCAGAGCTTTTGGCAGATGCACGTCCGTCCTGCGCAGCCAAAGCCAGGCAAATGTGCAGCATCCTGCCCACTCCGGTGCAGCGCTGCAAGCTGTATCTGGAGGCACTGGGGAAGCAAATAGTTTCCCATCCCCTGCACTCCCTCGGCCCGTAGTCTCGGATCTACCTTGTGTTGGTGGACGGGGTGCGAAGGTCTGGCTGCGCGTCTCTCCTCTGCAAAGCCAGGGCATGTCCCGCTGTGGCCTCGGCTGTCTCGGGAGCTCTCGTGCTCCTTCACAGAGGGAGGCGAGATCTCTGCCGCGCAGGATGTGTCCCTGGCAGAGCAGAGGATGGTGCTGCAGCCTGCGACGTGATTCTCTCCAGACCCAGCAGATGGTGCCACCTTCCCTGGCTGTGACACGGGGCTGGGGAGCGGGTGGGCTTGGGGGTGCTGGCAGGGTGCTGGGGGTCAGGAGCTCGCCCAAGGCTCACTAAGCTTGCGCTGCACCCCTGCCCTGCTCTCGGCTCCCTCCCTACCTCGCTCCCTGAGCAGCCACCCTGATGGTGACACGGTGGGGTCTCTGGGCTCCCGCCAGCCTGGGAGGCTGCGGGCAGACCCCACTAGCAAAGCCCAGCTGACAGAAGGAAGGGTGAGCTCATAGTTTAACCACAACATGGGGAATAGAGAGGGTTTAACCCTGGGTCACTCCTGTTGGAGAAGTGGCCCTGCCCTCCTGGGGTGCGCGCAGTAGCTGGGGTGTCCTGCGTCTCCCGAGTCCTTCCCTCAGCAGGGAAGCGTGCTGTCCATCCCAAAGCGATGCCTGGCTGTTTGGCGACTTAGGAGGGAGAGCAATTGCTCTACGCAGGGACTAGCCCTGAAAGCAGCGGGATAATTGAGGGTGGTATGTAAAGAAGCTCCTGGGGAGCAGCGCTCTGGGTAGGGGGCTTGGGGGAGCGGGCCCAGCTGGTGCTCGGTTATGCTGTTTGGTCAGGCTGGGAGAGCGAGGGTCCCTGGTGTGAACCCTCCAAGGAATCTGCACTCTTCACACAGCTTCCTTTGATCCACTTCGGTCATACCCGTTTTCCTTTGTCCTGCAGGCATCCGAGTGCTGGACGGGCCCCTCACCGACAGCATGGAGGCCATCGCCTTCAACAAGCACTATCAGATCAACGACATCTACAGCTGCAGGTGAGCCCCAGGGGACCCTGAGCCACGCCAATGCCCAGTGAAGTGCAAACACAACAGAGAGATCCCAGCAGCGAGGGGCCAGCCTGACGGATGGGAAAGCACAGCACCCCCCGATCCCAGTCGTGGTGCTGGGAGTAGCTGGTGGCTGCTTGTAGCTCACTGAAATGGCAAACTGTAATGGGAAGAAGAATTGCTGTCTGTGACTCCTGGAGCGGCCACTTCATGGTGTCTCTCTTTGCAGCTGGGGTCCAGATGACGATGGGAAAACCGTGGATGGCCCTCATCAACTGGGAAAGGTAAAAAACTGTCCCAGCAGCACGAGTCGCCCCTGGGCTGGCCCTGCGGTGCTTGCAGTTTCTTGTCTGCCAGGACAGGCGGGGAGGGACGTTGCTGTGGCGCAGCGCACGTTCGTTTGCTTCTGTCGCTGCCAGCCGAGGTGTTGCATGTTACTGTGTGGTGGGGAGAGGTGACATTGCTGCAGGAGGACAGCGTTCAGGCAGCGTTAGATGTGATTTCCAAGGAGAGGCTGGTTCCAGCAGGAAAATGCTCTTTCGCAACCTGTGGTGTTTATTCTGACAACTTTTGCAACCCGAGAGACGCTCTCCACTCAGGAAAAGGAGTGTTCCCAGTGCTGAGGGTGGCTCTCCAGGCAGGGAGTGTGCTTGGGAGTAAATAAGGGGCGATGGCTGCATTTGCTGCCAGTGGGACCATAGTGAGAGGAAGAGTCGGAGCTGAGGCTGCTCCTTCCCGCTCCGTTAAGGTGTTCTCGTGGCGCCCATGCTGCAGAACTGCTGCAAAAGACACCCAGCTGCCTGTGCCTGGCTCTCACTGCCCAGGTGCCACAGCGAGAGATCACCGAGGGGGCATCGAAACTCGCACTGCATTGCTCCTGGGACATGGTTCTGCTTGATTTCTGTTTTGCTCGGCAGCCTTTTGTTATACTTCCCTAACCACAAGGCAGCAGTTACTGTGCTGTTGGGAGGAACGCTGACAGCTGAGCTATCAGTTCATGATGACAAATGGTTTCCAGTTCTGCAAGTTAATTTCTTCTCTTCCTGCGTGCAGACACAGCTGTCTGGAGGGCTCTCTGGCCAGTGCACTGTGTGCCTTCACCTGCAGAAGGGAGGGCAGAGGAGGAGGGCTGGCAGGATTGCTTTCTTCCTTGTGCATCAGACCCATCCCCTTTATCTAGGTGGGAATGACATCTGTGCAAGGTGTCAGCCTGGACGTGTGCTTCCCAAGCAGGGTTGCTGTGGTTGTGTTTCCCAGCGGAGGCAAAGCCCAAGCATACATGGGGCTGGGGCCTGGCAGAAGGGCAGTGGCCCCCATGGGTAGTCTCTGCCGGCAGGCAAGCCTGGATGCTGCAGAAAAGCCAGCTCCAGAGTGAGCCCTGCTGAAGCTGGGAGGGCTGGGCCTGCTGGGTTTCCTCTGGAGCTGAAATGCTGGCCAATCTCTCTGCTGTCATTGCCTGGAAGATTGCTTTTCCTTTTTTTATTTTTAACGCAGAATTTGCTTAAAACCATAGTAAGCTCTAGATCGGCCGTTCCCCAGCCCAGATGTTGTCTGCATCGCTGCCTTTGTACCACACTCGCTCTGGAATCTCGGTGTCTGGTCGGGGCTGTAACACACACGTCTCCCTGACACTGCTAGCTGGGTGAAATACAGCCCGGAGGGGTGGTGGCTGTCACCCCGAGCACTTGGCAGGGCTGGGTATTGAAATCTCAGAGCGCAGACTTTGGTTGCTGGATGGAGATGCCAGGACAGAGGTTTGCAGCATGTCCTATGCCTGTGAGCTGTCCGCAGGGCCGGTGCTCTCCCAGCACAGGCAGCGTGCATCCGTCTGTCCCTGTGTGCCGGGAGGTCCCCCACGGCTCACAGCCACGCGTGCCAGCCACAGCTGTGGGCAGAAGCCCTCTGGGAAGGGTCCACCAGCCTCCATGCCCTGAGCAGCGCCGGTTCTTTCCCCACAGGCCGCCCTGCAGCACGGCGTGATTGCGGGTCGCAGGGGCTTTGGGAGCATTTTTGTCGTGGCCAGCGGCAACGGCGGGCAACACAACGACAACTGCAACTACGATGGTTATGCCAACTCCATCTACACTGTCACCATAGGTGAGTGTGTGTGTTTTCTGTCTCGTTCCTTCCCAGCGTGGGAAAATGAGATCGTTCCCCTGCCCAGCTCCCAGCCTGTGGAAAAGCACCGCTAACAGGACAGGCCCTCGGGGGCTCATCCCCCTGCAATTTCAGCAGTGAAACATCCAGCCCATGCATTTCTCTTTTTCCCAGGCGCAGTGGACGAGACAGGCTCCATGCCGTTCTACGCTGAGGAATGTGCCTCCATGTTAGCGGTGACCTTCAGCGGCGGGGACAAGATGATGAGGAGCATTGTGAGTACCACACAAGGGACATGTCTTCCCCTGTGCTCTGCTGGCCACAGGGCTGGAACAGCCTGGTGCAGAGAAAGGATGAAGCTCTGTCCCTCCTGATTGCCACGCATCCGCCTTGGGCTGGTAGTTGGGTTTCGTTGTGAGGCAGGGAGTGAAAGTGCTTTTTATCTCGGTCCTACATAAATTGTTGTCTGAGAGGGAGGTTCCTGTTTCTCGTTGCTCCCATGTCATCACTGTCTGTCAGCCTGTAGCTCGCAGTGCGGTGACCCTCTCTCTGCCAGGGTGTTTGCGGGCACACTGAGTCCCTGTCCCAAAGGCAGACCCTGCGTGTGTCACGTTTGATGTCAGACTGAAACAGCCAGGGACTGTGCTCCCTTATCTCCCTGCTCTGCGCTGATGGGAACTGCAAGCAAACATCTTCTGGGACACGGGCCACTTGGGAGACCCCTAAGGAATTCTTCTGCGCTGTGTCCCTGGGAATATCATCCGGGGAGCTCCCCCAGCTCAGCCCTGGGACAGCCAGCAGAAAGCAAGTGTTGTCCCAGCTGTGTGTGTGCTCCCTTCGCACAGCAAGGAGGGAGCCTGCAGCAAGACTGCGGGCTTTCCTGAAGAGGAAGGGACAGGGGCAGCTGCAGCTCAGCT